AAAAAAATCCACTAGTGGGGCATTCTAAAAAATACCTGACTCATACTCCTCAAAACTGTCATGGTCATCAAAAACAAGGAAAGTCTGAGCAACTGCCACAACTAACAGACCCCTACATTACAATTACATGTAATGTGAGATCTGGATGGAATCATGGAACAGAAAAAGGACATTAGGTTGAAAACAAATCTGGATGACATACAGACTTTAGTTAATAACAATTTATCATCAGTACTGGTCATTAATTATAATAAATTAGAGGTATAATAAATGTACCATATTAACATAAGATGCTACTGGTGGAAAAACTGAATGCAGAATATATGGGATTTCACTGTACTATCTTCTCAAATTTTTTCTGTAAATCTTAAACTTCCAAAAAATAAGTGTATTAAAAATGACATCATGATGTTGAAGTACAGTTTTCTCCGCTATTTCAGTTTCCTTCTGCTAACTTTCAAACAATGGGGCTGGGCTGAGGGAATAAAGGCTTATTCAAACTCTGCAATTGAAACTTTTAAAAGTGTATTCTCATCTAAATGAGGGCATGAAAGCAATGTTTTATTTAAAACATTTGGTGCTTTGTTTATAACTGTTTAATATTTGCATATAAATAGTGTTTTTTCAAATCCCATTTTACAGATGATGATTCTGATACAGAAACATCAAATGACTTGCCAAAATTTACAGATGGAATCAAGGCCCGAAACAGAAATCAGAACTACCTGGTTCCCAGTCCTGTGCTTAGAATCCTAGAGCACTCTGCATTTTCTACAGGTCAGGCAAAGTCATTAATAGCATTTGTATATTTTGTATCAGATCGATGAAAAAATGCATAAAATTCTTTTTCCAGTTATTTACCTAATAGGACTTATTTAATAATAGTAATAATAGGCTTGTTTTATTTTTCAGAAAAATCTGCTGATATTGAAATTTGTGATGAGGAGTGTGACTCACTTGAATCAGTCAACCAGCAAACTCAGGAGGAGAGTCCTATAGAAGTTCACACTGCTGAAGATGTTCCAATTGCTGCAGAAGTGCATGCCATTTCTGAAGATTATGACATAGAGACAGAAAACAATTCTTCTGAGAGTCTCCAAGACCAAATTGATGAGAATCCACCAGCTAAACTTTGCAAAATTCTTGACAAGAACCAAGCTTTGAATGTAACTGCCCAGCAGAAATGGCCTTTACTGAGAGCTAATAGCAGTGGCCTCTATAAATGTGAACTCTGTGAGTTCAACAGCAAGTATTTTTCTGATTTAAAGCAGCATATGATCCTGAAGCATAAGCGAACTGATTCAAATGTGTGTCGAGTATGCAAGGAAAGTTTCTCTACCAACATGCTTCTAATCGAACATGCCAAATTGCATGAAGAGGATACCTACATTTGTAAATACTGCGATTATAAGACAGTAATTTTTGAGAACCTCAGCCAGCACATTGCAGACACTCATTTTAGTGATCACCTTTATTGGTGTGAACAGTGTGATGTACAGTTCTCCTCAAGCAGTGAACTCTACCTACATTTCCAGGAACACAGCTGTGATGAACAGTACTTGTGTCAGTTCTGTGAACATGAAACAAATGATCCAGAAGACTTGCATAGCCATGTGGTAAATGAACATGCATGTAAATTAATAGAATTAAGTGATAAGTATAACAATGGAGAACATGGACAGTACAGCCTCTTAAGCAAAATTACCTTTGACAAATGTAAAAATTTCTTTGTATGTCAAGTATGTGGTTTTCGGAGTAGACTTCATACAAATGTTAACAGGCATGTTGCTATTGAACATACTAAGATTTTTCCTCATGTTTGTGATGACTGTGGCAAAGGTTTTTCAAGTATGCTAGAATATTGTAAACATTTAAATTCACATTTATCTGAAGGGATTTACTTATGCCAGTACTGTGAATATTCAACAGGACAGATTGAAGATCTTAAAATTCATCTAGATTTCAAACATTCAGCTGACTTACCTCATAAATGCAATGACTGCTTGATGAGGTTTGGAAATGAAAGGGAATTAATAAGTCATCTTCCAGTCCATGAGACAACTTGATTATTCTCTTTAAATGACATAATGTAAAGTAATAAATTCAACTTCTTTTGGAGATGTTAAAATTGATGATTTTAAGCACAACTTATGGGAATTGCCTTTAATAAGATTTTTCAAATTGTCCAATTTTCTTGACATTGCTACATTTTTCAGTATGTAATTGTATCTTAAATGTGGTATTTTCAATGTATAGTAGTTCATAGTTTAACCACTCTTGGTGACTAGGATCCTGTTTCTTGCGTGTGCTCTGATTTCATGAATTGGTAAGAAACAGATGTATTAAAGAAGCTAGACTAGTTTTCCTTCTGGAACCATAGGGGCTATTAACTTTAGTTTTTAAACTCAAACTCAGTTTTTCAGGTGGCATTAAAGTACTGCACTATCAGAACTAAAATGCAACATAATATACAATTAAGTCCACTGATACTCCCATTAATAAGAACCCATACCCTTTTTTTTACATTCTCCATCAGTAATTCTCCCCAAGGCAATGATTTCTTTTAATAACACTAGGAGGCCAGTGTTATAGTAGGAAAGAAAGATCTGGTTTTCTTGGTAGTTTTTTTTTTCTTTTAACTTTATTTTAGCCCCTATGTGTTAAGTAATTTAAGATGGGAGGATAAGAAGAACTGGTAAGCATTTAGAACAATTACAAAAGTAACATTTCAAAACTCATAACTTGTTCACATTTCATTTGCAATTATGCAACTGCAAAGTCATGCCCAAACTTCTGATGTCAAATCATATTGACTGAGAAAACCCACCTAAGTATTAATATAGAATTAGGTAGTTCTGGGAGATAAGGAGTTGTTGACTGATTATGTATAAATTACTTTTGATAATGGTAAAATAATCTTAGCTCTTATATTAGATTCTTATGACTGCTGTAAGAAATTGCCACAAACTGAAAACAATAAATTTGTTTCTCAGTTCTAGACCCTAAAAGTTTGAATTAGAATGTTGGCATAGGTTGTACTTCCTGAGGGCTATAGATTTGTATCCAGCATTTCTTGTCGGCTTATCGTTGGCCACCTCCATGTTCACATGGTATTTCTCTCCATATGTGAGTATGTCTCCAGATTTCCCCTTTTGCAAGGATACCAGTCACTGGGGTAGGGCTTACCCTAAAGACCCTATCCTCAAATAAGGTCATACTTTGAAGTACTGGGGTCCAGGACTTAACATATGGGGATAGGCGAGGAGACATACAACAACTGCAATTTAATAGCAGATTCTTAAATAGTATCAAGAAGATAGAATTTTGTATATCATTGATGGCCTCAAATTTAAAACTGCTGCTAACAATGTTGTTGTTCAAGAATACTGATATAGTTAAACAGACCAATTTATGACATAGTTTTCCCACTGCAACAACCATGGGAATTTAAGTATTTTGAGAAAAGTTGCAACAACATTTTCAAAGCCATTTTTATCTCTACTGTTTCTCATATATGCATATCTATTCCTGGAAACTACCTTTCCATCTGATTGTAACATTCCAAATGGGGCTGTCTGATACAAATATGTCTTAGAAGACTTAGAATTGTAGTTTAAATTGGAAGAGAACTTCAGAAACTATCTGGTCTAAACTCTAGTTCTGTAAGTTGTGGAAGTAGAAACTCACATCACGAGGCCAGGGTCACAAAACCAGTTGCTGCTGACAGGAATGGAATCCAAATTCCCTGGCTTCCAGTCTAGTGATGATACCACTGCATGTTACATAAAAATCACCTCTGTTACACCATGTCACATAAAAGTCCAAGCTTTGTCCTTGGGTGTTTTTCGTGACTACTTAACCTAGCCATTCAACTGCCTTCTTTAAATTCTGCTTTTATACTTTCTTGATACACATCCAGCTCCAGGAATTTCATCTTCAGGAAACAAACCTTAAATAAGTATTGCCTTGGTGTTTTTTAAAATTCTGTATTTTATTGCTTTACATTTGATCAGGTGTTAGTAATCAAAGAGATTATAATGAATACTCAGATGCAAAATTGAAGTTCTAGAACCATATAATTTTATATTTTTTGAGGCCACATCCCATTGACAGTTAACTTTCTGCTTTGACTCAGCTTTTGAGTTGGTCTATGACTGACCATAAATTGCTGAGGTAGCTGATTGATATTTTTAGCTTAATAACTTCTTTGGAAAAACAAACCCACCTAAAGAAAATTTCTAACTGCATCTGTTTTTTTCCTCCTCAGACACAGGTATTTTCACTGTGACTTGAAACACAATTCAAGTCCGAGAATACCGATAAGGGTGTTTATTATTAGCACTACAATAGAATTCTTGGTAGCAGTGAACAGTAGTGTGTTTTTTTTTCCTTGTCTTCACCTTTCAAGGAGTTATTACTTTTGAAATTCCAAAGCATTTCCCCTGTACTCCAAAGTCTGAAAGTGATTATACACTACTCAAAAGTCTCTCCTCTTCCCTGCTTATATATTTGCCAGTTGCAGCATAAAATCGCCTTTCTTCGATTTCTCTGAATGTATATAGAATTAGGAAGTTCTGGGAGATAAGTGATGACTTTTACAGTCAGTAGCCTTTTGTTAGGTGATTGCTGAGTTATTGGCAGGTGTATTGTATAGACAGGGTTTTTTTTTTCCAAGTAAACTAACACTATTCCTAATTTTTAAATCTTGAAATTCCTGACACTTGACCATTAACCTTACTTTTGCTTGTTTCATCAGTTTTACTACTTTTCCCAAACTACTATGATTCATTTTTAATGGAGTTCTAATGCCTAAAAAGCACTATATGTTATGTAAATTTGAAAGGGCTAATAAAAATCAAATGGGCACTTGAGAAGAGTCCTCTTGAGAAGCATATTGGCTTACCAAAAAATCAATACTCATTAAGAATTTAACTGAAAATAGACAGTTAAAACTAAATGTTAATCCCAATGGGGAAGCAAATTTGGTTAGTTAGGTTTACCCTACAATTAACAGTCTTATCCTTAAAAATTAAAAATGAAACTTTGGGATATCTTCCTTTTCCTATAACTTTCAGTTCTGATGACTAAAAGATAAAAAGTACATGAGAGAACTTTTACTCATGGTATTGAATTAATGGATTTACATAGACTTTATATTGGTTTAGCAGATCATAAATTAATCTTTTAAGACATTCAGATCTTAGAGAAATGTGTACAATGTATAAATATAAATTCACAAAGCTAAACGTGTAATTTACATGTTTATATGAAGTTATATATTCAATTTGTATGTTTAAAAACAAAATCTTAAGAACCTAATGGTTGTTTGGAACCTTATACTTGTGATTTGAAATATAATTCTCTGGATAAAGACCCCATATTAAAGCAACATTGACCATAATTTCTGTACCAAGTTCATTTTCCTTAATAACCTCAGTGTGAAACTGATAACTACCTGAACTCCAGGTAAATTACATTTGTGAAAAGTAATTTCTTCATACTAAAGAGAAACAATTTTCTCACATTGCTAGGAATATTGTATTATCTATTAGTCATTCCCATACTTTAAAAGGGATGATTAGACACTTCTTAAAAGGAATTTTTTATCACAGCCTTTAAAAGTTTTTTTTTTAATAGGCAAATGACCATAACCTAGATAATCTTTTTTCTTGCTAAAAATATTGAGCAGAATGAATTATATCCAGAAAAAACTAATGAAAAGTATGTTTTGAATGAAAACTCAAAGTAAAGTTTTCCAGTTTTTGGTATCATCTAGATAGTGCCCACTAAGGAAAATCATTACAGTTAAAATAATTGGTACTTTTGCCCTTACTCTCGAGTAAGCCAAGATCAGGAATTGGAATCAGCCACCAAATGTAATTTCTGGTGGGTAATTTTACCTTTTTTAATCCTCTGCCTACATGCCATTCACCAAAATTATTGGTTGGCTAAATTTGAGAATATTGAATTCTATTTTCCTGCCTGTTCTCTTCACTTTATGTAGGGTTACTTCTCTTTATGGCATTATTCATGTTTCTAAAACATTCCTCAAACCGTTTTCCCCCTAATATTTGCATCTTTTCCTCACTTCATTTGGTTTTTCAGAAAGTCTCAAAAGATTAAAGTTTTCCCACTTAATAAGGTAAGAGTGAATTTGTTTTCTTCTCTCTACTCTATGAACTGTGTTAAAATAAGTTACTCCCTTCACACTATTTACCACATTACTTGTCTCTATACCCTGAAATATTTTATATATTCCTATCTAACAGCAGTGGCTGGGCTGAATTTATAAATTTAAATATGTCTATTTTGGATTTTAAGCAGAATACCATGGCACAGATCTTAAAACTTTATGGTTGGTTATAAGATTTTGGTTAAGTTCCTTATGGCACTGATATAATTAATGTTCTTTAGTGAACTGAAGTATTGAATTATTGGAAATAACTGAATGACACAATGTTACTCTGGGAGGAACCTCAGAGATCATCTAATCCAGACTCAAAGTACACAGCATATAAAAATGTATATGGTACATAGTTTTATTTTCATGGTTATAAATTATATGTTGTAAAATTTAAGAAGTACATCAAATCTGATTTGTGAATACTTTTACTTAGGGACAATTAATTTTTTAAGAAAAAACAGAAAAACATGAATAATGATATATGGACATGGAAAAAATTGGGTAGATGATATATGAATTTTGAGAATACAAGATTCTGACCCAAATTTCTTTTTTATAGCTTAGGAAATGGTTCTCTAACATCATTAATCAAATGCTTTTTAAGCTAGAAAAAACAGGATTTCTAACTCCCTGCAACTCTTCAAAATTTTTCTTTAGAAGTTTAAATGTGCCCTATTTTTTCATGGAATGTCATACTAGAAGACAGAAAACTACATATTAGTACTGGACCTAATCATATGACTTTGATTTCTAATCCCTGCTCTCTAACTATAAATGACTAATTTTGGACAATGCTTGTAAGGTTACTGGTCCATGGACTCTGCAACTCTGTAAAAACTATTTCACTACTCTTCAGTTTAACAGCTGTGGAATATTTACTTTCAAGCCATGTGTTCAGGGCTACAAGGTTACCCCTCAAAGACATTTACCATTTAGGCAGAATAATGGTGAAAACAGAAAAAAACTTGTCACCTTTCCAAACTTTGATTCAGAGAATATCAAATTGAACATCTTTTGTGTTTCTAAGTATTTTCTTTGTGTATCATAAACATTCTTGTATGTGTTGAGGTGTTTTGGGTTTTGTTTTGTTTTATTTCAGGGCAGGTATGAGTTCATAAATATTTTTTTGTCCGCTTGTGATTAAATACTTTCAAAATATGGAGAATGGCTAAAGTTTATACTCCCAGCAATTGATCATGCTTCCTCACATCCTTATCAACAATTACAATCAGTCTCCCTTTTCCCTCCCCACATTCCAGAGGTACTGGCCTTCTTTGCATCATCCATCCCACTGTCCTTACGATAGGCCTTTGGACTTCTGTTCCCACAATTTTGGGCACTCTTTCTCCGGACGTTCCAAGGATTGGCTTGGAAAAGCAATGAAATACAACCTCCTCAGAAAGCACCACCCCGTGTGGCTCATTCTCATTTTTCTTCAGATAGTCTATCCCGCTGCCATTTTTTATTCTTCAGAGTAGTAAGTATTGTTTGAAACGATCTAACCTATTCCATTTATTTATTGATTCTCACCTGCTCCAACAAAAGAACAATATTTAACTCTCACTACATGCCCAGCACTTTACATGATATCGAACAACTTAATTTTCACAACAAACCATAAGGTACGTATCATTAGCACTCCAGATTTACAGATGAAGTACCAGGGGCTCAGACAGATGAAGTGGCTTCACTTGCGAAACTGCATCTCACCGCAGCTTTTGAAGGAAATCCCCAGCATATTCCATTGGGCCAGGGACTGACCAGGAGTAGCAGTTCCCGCAGGGTGTTAGAACTGCACACTCCCGAGCCTCACCTCTGACCCAATGAGCAAGAATCCACAGTTTAACAAGATCCGCAGGTGATTCCTAAATACAAAGCGTGAGATGCACTGGTTTCGGATACATCAATTTCCTGTCGTAGCCCCTCTGCACAAACAATTGCAGCCGTACCCAAAGCCCCGGAAGCCAATCACGAGGGAACAGAGCCGCGAGAGGTCAAAGGTTATTGCTGATGGCCCCGCAAACAGAATCCCTCGTCTGGCAGCTCCAACAACGCTACTCCTTTTAGTTTTCCCTCACTAGCCAGCTCCTGGCAGCTAGCTGTCCTACGCAGGGCAGAGCTCTGGTAACTTTCAAGGAGGGGAAGCAGAGGTTAGGGAATGTACTGAAACCCCTTCTTCTTCTTTAATTCGATGCCCACAACGACCCTTGCCTTCTGCCCTTAATAAAAATGGCGCCTTGCGTAGGTGTAGTTCCAGCTACGGAGCCAAACATAATTGGGAAGGCAAGAGACCGGAAGTGACCGCTGTTTGGCCAATTCTCCCACCTCCTTCCGGTCTTGGTGCCTGTCTTAGGATGAGGCGGCCTGAGGGCTGTGGCTGAACTGTGGTTGCCAGTGACAAGTCGGAGCCGGGACAGTGTGAGTACCCGCTGCCTCGGCCATCGGCCGGGTCACTTCTCCCGAGGTGACCTTTGTGCGGTCAGGGACGGGGCAGGGAGTCGTGTGCAAGGCGCTCTGTGATGCGGCACCGCCGCGGTTCTGCGCGAAAGCGAGCAGGCGGGCGGCCGAGGGGAACCCCGGAGCCCGGCGGGTGGAGAGCCCGGTCCCCGGCCGCCGCACGCGGATCGGTGGTGGGGTCTGGCTCCTAGCACTGCGGGCGGGCTCCCGCGCCCGGTGTGTAAAGAGTGGAAGGCCTTTTCCCAAAGTAACCTTACACCCGGCTAGACCGGATCGTTGCCCTCACCCTGCTGTTCCCACGCAGCTCCGTCGCTCAGTCATTTCCTGCCCCTCTGGAAGGCTCAGCCTTCTTTATTCCACACACATTCAGAATTAGACAGGTATGTGATCGTTTTTTCTTTGGTGTCTTGCATGAGAAGCTGCCAGGAAAAAAAATCTTTTTTATCCTCCTCGAATTTCCTGGTACTTTGGCTGGAAACATTAGCGTTTCCTTTGTCTTGCCTCCTGATTCGTTGTGATAAGAACATTTTCTAAGCGTCAATATTACTTTATGATCCTGGAATTTTATCTTTTCATTCTGCAAATCTACCTCTACCTTGCTAGAACTTAATATTGAGAAACTTAATTGTGACTTTGGTTTCTTTATACTAACCTTGTTCCCTGATGTACTTAAAAGAGTCACATGCAGTTACAATTAGTTTCATCTTCACCAAAGGGAAATTAAGAGAAATTGCAACCAAGATTTTGGCCAATAGAGTTACCTCATTTTAGGGGAGTATCATTCAAAAGTAGTTTTTAATTGAGTAAAACCCTTTCCCCTAAAACAATTGTCTAAAAGTACTTTGGCAGTTTAACGTATTTCAGTGGGGGAGTTAATCATTGCAGAAGGTGTCATTAATTTGCATGTCTTTATCATACAGTTTAATTTGTGCTTTTCTGACTTTTTTTTCTCCCCCTAGTAACATAATGGCAGAAACAGCTTCTCCGCTGAAGCACTTTGTGCTAGCTAAGAAGGCGATTACTACAATCTTTGACCAGTTATTGGAGTTTGTTACTGAAGGATCACATTTTGTTGAAGGTTAGTTGCTCTAAGTTTTTTAAATAATTACTGTTGGAAATATACTTTAAGGTGCTTTATTTTTCAGCCTTAGTTACTGAACACATATATGGGGCATTGTGCTGTATGCTATAAGAGATATCATAGCAAATGAAACCCATTTCTCTTTGCAAAGGAAGAAGAAGTGCTTGTATGTGAGATA